AGCCCTCTTCACTCGTATGGTATGAGCTGCTTTTGGCACCTCTGAGAGTTGAAATATGTTCGCAGTTGCATGCTGTAAGCTGAAGGAAACATTCCTCTATATGCTACAGTGGGATTTGCTCTGTGACTGTGGAGGAATGCAGCATCATATGAGCAGGAAAAAGAAACAACCAGAAAAATCCAGGAATTGGCAAATTTGAAGGAGTTTCATCGTTATGATCAGTTGGCTCCCAGGAACCATCTGAGGAACATTTCCTCAATATAGAGCAGAATTAAAAAGCAAATGTAACATGTCCAAGTCTTGTTTCCAATGCAAGTACAAACAATTCAAAAACATAGTTTGAGTTGGAAGGAAACCTCAAAGGCCATCTAGTCCAACTCTCCTTCACTGAAGAGAGGCACCTACGGATACATCAGGTTGCTCAGAGCCCCATCCAGCCTGACCTTGAGTGTCTCCAGGGACAGGGTGTCCACTGCCTCTCATGGTAACCTGTTTCAGTGCTTTGCCACCCCTATTGTAAAAATGTTTTTTTCTTATACCTAGTCTAAATCACCACTCTTCTAGTTTGAAACCATTTCCCCTTGTCCTATCACAACAGACCCTGCTAAAGATCCTGTCCCCATCTTTCCTGTAGTTCCCCTTTAGATACTGAAAGGCCGCTATCTGATGTCCCTGGTGCCTTCTCTTCCTCAAGTTAAACAGCCCTAGCTTTCTCAGCCTGTCCTCATAGGCAAGATGTTCTGTCCTTTGGATCATTTTTGTTGCCCTCCTCTGGATGCACTCTACACAGGTCCACATCTCTCCTGTGCTTAGGACTCCACATCTGGATGCAGTTCTCCAGGTGAGGCCTCACCAGTGTAGAAGAGTGGGACAGGGTTATCTCTCTCAATCTGCTGGCCATGCTGCTTTTGTGCAGCCCAGGATAATGTTGGCTTTCTGGGTTGTGAGAGTACACTGCTGGCTCATGTCCTGCCTCCCATCTACTAGTAACCCCAGATTCTTCTTGGTAGGGCAGTGCTCCATCCTTACATCCCCCAGCTCATAATGATAGTGGAGGTGGCTACAACGCAGACACAAGACCTTGCACTTGGTTTTGTAGAACGTCATGGTGTTCGCTTGGGCAGCCCACTGCTCAAGCCTGTCCAGGTCTCTCTGGATGGTGTCCCGTCCCTCAAGTGTGTCTAGCCTATTTTCTAGTTACCAGGGATTTCACCTGACTGCCATGACTCTACAAATATCACCGAAAGTGGCAATAATAATTTAATAATATATACTATTATATATACTATTTCAGCACAACTCTTTATAGTGACTGGAAGGAAAACAGGGAATTGAAAAACCAGGCTACTGGCTTCAAGTCCATCTCTGTGTATTTAATTCTTCATTTGTGCCACACTAGTAATGCCAGCATAGATTTTAGAAAGGATTATAGGCTCTGCAGGTGAGAGATACTATGTATATATAAGATGATATTAGAAAGTAGATGGAAGCAGCTTCTTCTGAAGCTTACTCTGGTATAAGAAAGATAGAATGGCTTTAAGGACATCGTGTTTTTTTTCTAGGCTATGCAGTTTCTGTCTGTAGTACAGTAAGGTTTAGAACAGTAAGGTTTTGCTGAAGATGCGAGATTATAATGCTGCACAGTGGTCCCAGCCTCTGTTCCTTTAAGTACTGTACTGGCGTTTGACCACCACACCCGTGGACGTGACTTCGGGGTTTTAAATGCAAGAGTTTTAAATGAAAAGTGTCTGCATATTTTTGGATTGACATCCTGGTTCCCCCAAGCCTGCTTGAGACAGACTTGCTTCTCCGTAGGATCATGTAAATCCAGTATAACTGGAGATTTGGCCTTCTCTGGGCAAGCTGGTTACGATTGATATGTAAAACCTTAAATACTCCAAAGGTCAACCAATTAAGAGTGATGATTAGGAGCTGGTTCGTTGTGAACTCCTATTCACTTGCAGCATTCTCCAGTCTAAAGTTTCTTCAGAGGAGATGCAGGGATAACACTCCGGGGTGGGAACACTTCCTTTTTACATTACTAAGCGGCATTATTGTCTAAAATGTAAATTAAGTAATTAGTGAGGTCAAGAGACCACACAAAAGATTTTATTGGTTTGAATAAAATGCAGCCTGACATCAACCGGTATAGTAACAAACAGATTTTCTGCGTTAGCATGAATCAGCACGTTAGATGCAATTTCATCTGGTGTCTCACTCATGCACTACTGCATTTCCAATTTATTTTAGGGATGTAATTATTTAGGTATATATTTACTTGCTTTGGATACTGTGTGACCTACCCAATTTCTGCATAAGGCTTTAGTTTTCATTTCTACTCCATCTTCATTCTGTGGTTTATTTATTTTTCTCCTTATTGCTTTGTTTCTTCTTTTCTCATGGAGGTATGCTTAGAAGTTACATGCTGTTTATCTTGCTCCACAGCTACAGCTCTGAACAGTTTTTCTTGTATTCCCACAGTTATGTAGAATCTTTTAAATGGTATAAAGACGTGAATTTAACAGATTGTAAATTAGGAAGCTTGAGCTGCCTTCTTGGCTATCACCCATGTATTTTGGCTTTTGCTATCTGTTTGGCATGCTTTACTTTTTCATTCAGATGTAAGCAGCACTACTGAAGTGAAAAAGGCCTTGGTTGTGTTTTAATAGTAATGGTCTAGGTGTTTGCTCACTATGTTCTTGTGCAAGGGGCCATAGATCCTCCCAGTAAAATAAATTTGTCACTTCCCAGATTATCTTCTGAATAGCTAAGCCAAATGATGAGATAAAAGATGATCTGGGTAATTTGCCACCTGGATCATAGCGGTGGAATGAGAGAAAAGGGCCCCAAGTTGTGCTAGGGGAAGTTCAGGTTGGAGATTAGGAAAAACTCCAGAAGAGTGGTTGGGCATTGAAACAGGCTGCCTAGGGAGGTGTGGTGGAGTCACTGTCCCTGGAGGTGTTTAAGAAAGATGTGGCAGTGAGGTACATAGTTTAGCAGGCAATATTGGTGGTAGGTGGACAGTTGGACTAGATAATCTGAGAGATATTTAGAGGTATTTTCCAACCTCAGCAATTTTGTGATTCTTTGTGCAAGAGGAGCAGGGGCAGTGGGAAGATAGGTGATAACGTGCCAAGTTTATAGTCAGCTGAAAGCTGAACCCAACTCAGAATTACCTCCCATTGCCATGCAAGGTATGTTCCTCCATATTCTCCCATCCTACGTTTTGAATTGGCATGGCTGCTAGAGACTTATTTAAATAATAGTATGCAAACCTTTACATGAAGAGATCATGGAAATTTTTTAAATAAATCCTTATTTTCTGGTTGTTGTGGTTAAAAGAAAAAAAATCATTGTCTTGCCTGTATTTTACACATGAGAGACAGGAATTCTGCCAGTCAGCCATGGGAGAAGTACTTCTCCCAAGCGAAATGCCCTGTGAGGTGTGTTAAAGCAGCAGAGCTGGATGAGAGGGAGGGAGGACTGGCTCTGCCAGTTGGGGAGAGTCAGCTAAATGAATCGAGTGCTTTACACTGTGGCAGGGATTGAATCATGTGCCAGACAAAGCAAACAGTGGGCACAGAGGTCAGTTAGCACCCACTGGTTATTAAGAAATATCTGCCCAAAAATATAAGGATAAGAGATAGGATTTTAGTTCATCTTTCGCCTGTCTGTGAGGTTGCAGTCCCCTGCTTTTACTCAGACCATTTCCCTTTCAGGCTAATTATGAGGTTGATGTGAAGCCTCAGTTCTGCTTTCTTGCCTTTTCAAAGTAAAGTAGCACCTAGCTTAGTGTGCAGGGTGTCCTGGTCATACTGGGCATTCGGTGCTCTCTGTGAGATAGGGAAATGTTATCTCTTATTGTGTAGACAGTGATTGCAGCACAAAGTAAACAAGCCTCAGACCCTCAAAGGTAGTTTGATGCCTGAATCTAGATGGTCTCAAGGTCATACAGGCTCTGTATATTTCTAAAGCTTGAGGCTGTTGTGATTTTGTGCCTGGATGCAGACTGTGTTGCAGGCAGAGATGGGATCTGTGTGTCCTAGGCTGGTGGCTTAGCTGCTGGACCAGACTGCCTTTCCTAATCTTCTGTTCAGATCTCTGTTTTCAACCTGTCTGTTCTGAATGATGAAAACCACTGTGGTTTTATGCTGAAGCGCTGCCTCGAAGCTTGAAAAGGCTGCTTGGGTATGGGAGGTCTGCTTTGCTGAACTTCTACCTTGTGGGAACACAAAGCCCTTGTTACACTGTGAGGTGAGCAATGTTCAACATGCAGTCACCCCAAACCACTTCACTGCCTAAGTACTGCACTGTGGGATTATGGTGAAGTATTAGCACAGATAGAAGCCATTTTCAGTCTGTGTTTAGCAGGAAGTTCCTCAGGGGGGAATGGACACAGTAAGCAAACACCGAAGTAAAAAGGGAAATGTTTCTACCACCTATTGTATCATGGATGGACATGTGTATTACATGTGTATGTATGTGTAAACCCAGAGTTTAATAAGGGCACAGAGGAATTCCTGGTAATTAGCATACTGGATTTTGCCTGGGTTAGAGACTTTTCTAAATATGCATACTAAATGTTCTGCTTTATGCCATCTGGCTGGCTTTTAAAAGTGAGAAAAGGCACTCATCTCTGGCTTTGAATCTGCCTGTGAGTTGTGGAGGACAGCCAGCAGATATTTTTGCTGGGGATTTTGGAGAGAAAAAAAAAAAAAAAAGCCAACATGGCACAGAGTATCTCTGTTCCCTCCCACTGCAAGGTTTATTGATGCTGTCTGCAGATTTGTGTTTGTTTTACTGCTGGTAGTTAGAGCTGGTGATCAAAGGCGAGTGTAGCCGAACCCATGAAGGGATGTAATTGGTTGGACTCTTTGAGTTCTCTGTAACAATACTCAGTTTTGTTGTGTTAGGCCAGGCTCCACAAAGTATAAAACACTGTATGATTGCCGGGGCAGTTGGTCAAATGTTTTCTTCTCGTCTCAATTCCTTTTATACAGGAAACCAATATAGCTGGGAGCCCAGGGATGAAAGCTTTAAACCTGGAGGGTGCCTGGTACTTCCTGAGAACCTCACAGGGGAAGCGTTCAGTCCCCAAACAGCCTTGCTAACAGATACGTTTTTATAGTCTATTATTTTCTTTCTTCGTTCTTTGTTTCATTTGAATATAATAGGCTCTTTATTTTTAACTGCTCGTCTGTTCCTGCTGTTTATATCCTCATCCCAAAATCATAATTCTCTAGTTATTTTCTTTTTTCCTTTTTTGACATCATTTGGTTACTGTCTAACCATACTACAATGCCTGTATAGAAGGGACATGGTTTATTTTTTTTTTTACATTTTCCATTTTCCTCCCTGTCTTTTCAATAGAATCCCATATTTCAATTCGAACCAAAAAGTTGTAGCCTTATTTATAGGTCTTGAATTTTGGCAGTGATGTAAGTGTATTATATGCTTGTATGACTTCATGAGAGAAAAAGCTGGAGCTGCAGATGAATATGTAAAAATGTTATTTTCCTGTTTGTTTTTATAATGCGTGAGATGGAGAAAAGACTTTTAGGCCTGTGATAGTATAGTTATTTTATTTCAAAATCATCTGTTTATTCATTTAGATAGATAGATGGAGAACTTCCTGGCATCGCAGTCTTTAATTTGGACAAATATGCAACATAGGGTACTTGTGTTCATCTTATCCTGGCATTCATCTTATAAAATCCATTTCAGGGTACTATCTGTGAGAGCCAGTTCCCCTCTCATGCTGCCCCTGCACAACCCCGTGTCCTCCAGCCATTGAGGGTGAAACAGCGGTGTTTGCTCAACTGCCCTGCACATACAAGTGGCTCTGCATGCTGCTGGGTCAGCATGACACAAATGTACCACCTCTGATACTCTGCAGCAGACCTTGTTGTGAGTTCTTGCCCACTGGCAGCAAAACAGACTGGAGAGCCGGAGTCAGGCTTTGCTCTCCATGCTGCCATTGCCTCCAAGTGACTTTTGGGCAAGTTTGTAAACCTGGTGCTTACTTTACCCTTCTCTAAGTTAGCAGTTGCAGTGCCTGCCTCCAAGAGTGTTTCAGAATAGAACTGGTGGGAAAAAAAAGTTTTTTGACCCAGAAAACCCGTTATACATACTTGCCTATAATTATTTAGCATAGAATATTACTTATTTACATGCATGTACAACATTAATTTAGCTTCCAATTTAATCATAACGAAAACCCAAATAATTAAAATCTTCATTACAGAATGTTTCCTCATCTCCAGGTCTGTCAAGGTTCAGTCAGAATGCATCTTACTGTGAGATAGTTAAATGCTCCAGTTGGGGTTTGCTATTCTGTGGAAAAAAAGTATACTTTTTTTTAACTGAAATGGGATTTGCTGCTCTAAAGCTGTTTCAGGAATACCTTTCTGTTGCATAACTAAAAGAGGTACCTGGAAATGATTTTAAGCTGCTTGCAAAAGAACAGCCAGGCATCTATGACCTTATAATTATTAATTATAATGCAATTAATAATTATTATTATGATTACTTAACTCTTCTAAGTGTATATGTTCTTTTTATGTGCCTTCTTGTTCTTTTTATGTGCTTTCTTTTTTGCAGATTGATCACCTTAATTATGGTATGTCTGTTTGCATGTACTTAGTGACTATTAAAATGAAACCTGAAGTGCATTCTCAAACAAATTAGGAGCTGCTTTGTATGTTTTGAGGCTATCTCAATGGGAATGGACTAGAGTTTTTCATCTCCCTGTGCTGATGTAGTTTGGACTTTGCATTATGTCATTTTCCCAGACTTTTGACAGAAAATGCTCCTTCTGTTCTCAGTATTTTGACCATTACTGGTAATTGTCTAATGATTAACTCTTAGAGCAATGGGGAAGAAAGCATACGCCATCATCCTGAAATGCTGAATTCTACCAGCTCCTGAAAGGGATAAATCTCTAAAAATTTACAGAACAACGCATTTTGTAGCTAGGTCATGTAATTTAATTTTCATGTTTCAGTCACTTTTCACAATTACCTGGGCAACTAGAAAATCCAGAAATCCCCACTGTATAGTCATCTGCTTGCAAGTCCCCACAGGAAACACCTGCAATACTGAATTAAATACAGATGCCATTTTATGATCTTTAAATAATAACTTGAAAGAATAAAATACCTATGGAATGGGTCTCAAAAATCCATTGAGATTAAGCCTAAATTTGAGCCCCACTTTGCTGAAGCCCTGCTTTGCACACGAGGTATGTCTACACAAGAAAGATGAGTCAAGTTTTGTGCTATTTTTCTCTTTTTCTTCCCTGGCAGTATTGGGGTCACTCGAGGCAGTCACTGCCCATGCTCACCCAGATGAGCAGTGCAACCAATGTGTCCTTTCTTACAGCATTTTTGGCAATGTTCATGTAGAAGTGGACCAGATCTGATGAGCTGTCCGGCCTGAGCCTGTTGGCAGAGTTGAGACTATGAAATATTGTGCAGTTCTTCCTCTCCCTCAGATAAGGCAGGAGCCTTCTTACCTCTGTTTACACTGCTATCTCCTGGGCAGTTTTTCCATTCTGCTTCAGCTGCTTTTCTCAGCAGAGCCTATTATGGGTACATCGCAAAACTTTTCCTTTTGTTCTTAGCTTGAGATCTCCATTACAGGGGAAGGATAGCTGAGGCTTTGGGATTAAGGAGATCTGAGTAGGTGTTTTTTTTTGTTTTTTTCTTTCTTGTCTTAGTTATTCATTCTTCATCACCAAATTGAGCTATAAAGAGAAGTTATAACATTTGGCTGCCTCGCTTGCTCGTGCATTGGTGTTTATAGCAGGTTTTGAGAATGTCCTTAGAAAATAAAGTGCTATTGGTGATGGTAGTGTAATACTATAGTTGTCTTAATTTTTGCATAATTTAAACAAGTTTTTAAATTTTCTACACCTCTGAAATTAAATCACTTCTAATGTCATGACTAGAACTTGTTGTACACCAGTTACACACCAATTATTTGTGCCTTTCTTAGGCTAAAAGGAAACAAAAGTAAAGAAATGGATAAAGATTCTGAATCAGAATTGATGTTGAACAGGTATTTCTTTACTCCCTTCAGTTTGATAAGCTGTCCCAGTTTTCTTCAGTCTGGTTGCTTTTATGTGGCTGTATCTATCATTACATGGCTGTTGTTTTTTTGTTTTGTTGTTGGTTGGTTTTTTGTTTTTGTTTTTTTTATTGCTGATAGTAGCTACTGAGACTTTAGGAACTTTATTTGCTTAACCTTGGATCTCTGTGAGAGAAGCTGGTTACTTTGAAGCTTTTAGCCTCCTGCATTTAGAAATGTTGAAAGAAGCAACTCTAAATTAGGGGGTTTATTGCAATTTTAAACACACAAGTAGATGCCTTCATTCTTACAAACAACATCAAAAGGCTATAGAGTCTGGACTATATCAACCGTATATTGGTCATTTACCATTAGTCAACTCACACGTGCCTATCTCTCCATCAAGATCTCTCTTCTTCAAATGCGTTCCCCTAAGACATTATGCTGGATAATTATGAAGCTGGGAGGAATCCCAATAATCTCCAGTTGTTATGTGCTGTAAGCAAGGACAAAATGGCCTCCTGACATTCTTTGGTCAGGACGTTGTGTTTTGTTACACGGGTGAGTCTCTGTGCTTATTTACATGCAATTGTCATTATACTTCAACCATGCAGTTTAAATTTTATGTTTCATGCTTCTCGCAAAGATTGCTTAAAATAACAGATGCTAACTGTTGCGGACAGATTAGTTAATTTTATAACTAGTAAAACGGTAAAGTCATAAACATCAAAGTGTTTAGGTTCAAGGTCCAAGAATATGAAGAAGGAACAAATACTGTGTATATGCATTAATTGTATGCTATGACCATTCTCTTTGGTGTAGTACAGCCTGTGTGTCATCACCACTAAACTCTCCTATGCATGAGTTGTGCAGTTTCATCGGGCTTGCATCTCACTAGTCTATTTATTGGTTTTTGTTAGTGCTCTTGTGAATTCTTTCTTTGGATGAGAAATACAGCAAAGGAACAAATGTGTTGCTTTAGAGGGGCAGTGTTCTTGTTCATATGCATAACGTATTATTTAACACTGGTTAGATACGTTGGTTTGCATGCCTTTTTTTTGTTTGTTTGTTTGCTAAAGTACGTTTTGATTGCATGTGTAAAACATGAGAACTATTTTAGATGCATGTCTGTACATAAAGCAATTGAGTTAAACATACTTTTCTTCTCATTTTGATGTTTCCTCTCTGGCCAACTATTATTACTTTTATGCGATGAGCCCACCTCCCCATATAAATCTAGTGTCAAGCAAAATCTGACTGAAAATCTTATGTTAATGTTTAGGAGTTCATATGCTCACTATATAAGACAACTATGCTAAAAAGAAAAAAAGGGTAGATCACGGAATCTTCAGTTGTACGGGGAGGTATGTATGAAATATAGAGATTAACCCTGATTTCCCTAATTTCAATCAGTATTTTAATCAAAGAACATCTTTCCTCTGTTCTGCTCTCTCTCTTTTGTTCTTTCTCATCTCAGATGCATGTTTTATGATGATAGTCCTAATAAAAATGTATGGCACCGAGACAATATATGGATTATCTGCGGGGAAAATGAAAACTTTCTTCTTTTTCTGTCAGCAGCCTGTATGGAGATAGAGATGCTTACAAGTGCCAAGACCAAAACTCATGAAAAGCCTAGAGAATTTCCTTTCTACAAACCTTTCAGATCCACTTTTTTTTTTTTTTTTTTTTTTGGCCTTAATTTATCTCTAGGAACAAATTGGGAGAAATCATTCCATGGTGATAAATGTGGCACAAATGTTCTGTAATTTCACTCTTACTCTAGACAGAGATCACTAGTTTTCTTTATCTCCTGAAGTTGTCTTTATATTGAGATTGTCTAATGACACAATCTTCAGAGGACAGAAACAATATTATTACGCACATGGAAGACTTCCATTGTTTCCCCTGCTGCTCCTTTGGCTTGATGCTGTATGCAAGGATTAATTATAGGAAATCAGTGCTCCTGAACATAAACTAGGCTGAACTGTATTCTTCCTGTCTGCTATTGTTAGTAAGAGCATTGGAAAGCTGCATAGCAGGTTAGTCATGAAGGAGAAAAAGTAGGATGATTTCCTTTTTTTCTCAGCTGTGTGAATTTTCACCTTCTGAAAGTAGGTTTATTTACACTGCAAATTATGTCAGCATTCATGAGAAGGATAATTTCATTATCTTCAATAAAACTCTATGGTGAAATAAAGCAAAAAAGTATAGGGTTTTTTTTCAGTTTTATTTTTGTTTCCTTCTCAGCAATGGCATTCACTTTCAGTCTGGTGTAGGCTAAAAGAGGGAGCGTTTGAATGTTTGGTCAGTCAGCATGGTAAGAATTTTTTCAAACCTTTATAATCCTTTTAGCTAAGGTGACTATTTAAATGTCAGAGAACTGCAATCAAATTTAGAACCAGATGAGTGGCTGGTTTCTTGATGCTTCAGAAATTGTTGTTTCAGAAGAAGTGTGAATATGGAAGTCCTTAGTATGGATGAAATGATTGTGCTTGGGATTGAGTCTAAGCTTTTGTTGTAGTTTAGAAGATACTTCAAGGGCAATTTTTTGAGTAGTTTCCTGAGCAATATGTCAAGTTGCCAAATGTTTTGAAGATTTTTCACTTCTAAATCATTTATCTTGTAACATAGTAGTAGCATTTCTGAGTTTCAGATAAGGCTGGTTTGTGTCCAAGAGACTAGTCAATCCAATTAAAAATTTTTATTCCATTTTTTTTTCTTCTTATAAGGAAGAATATTCATAAGACATCCTTATAGGGTGGAGGCATATACTGCAAAATAAAATGATTCAGAGAAGCATTTCATCGCTTTGATTAGGGTAAGAAAACTTTAACTCACTGTCTTGGTGCTTTAAAAAGTAACTATTCTAGAAGGATTTTTAGGTTAATGAGGCATGAATAAATGTAAGCTTTCCATGAAGAAATGAATAAAGTGATTGTATTTGCTGTGGCCAGACAGTGCATTAATATCTATTACTGCTATTCAAAATTGATCTTTTAATAAGCTTGTTGTGCAGGTGACCTGAGGCTCATATGAATTTCAGTCAAAAGTAGAGTCCTTTTCTGTATAGATGTGCTCATTTTTAGAGCAAAATTTGGAACTGTAGGCCTTCTGCAAAAGAAAAGGGGAAACAAGGATTCATTTGATAGAAGCATGAAATAGTTCTTTACCTGTAAAATGTGAACTAAAGACTTGTGCTACAACAAATGTTATTGACCTACATGCTTGGCAGAAAAGACTGGATGGATTTGGGATAGATGCTCATCTTAAGAATATATTTTTTCATGTCCTTATATTTTGTAGTTCTGGGCTGAAAATAACTCAAAAAATTAAAAGAAAAAGTGAAAATGGATTAAATTAACTAAGTGCTAATATCAGCAAGGCCTCATAAATTTTCTATCAAAGTAAAATTGGCAGGTTTTGTTCTAAAGAAATCAAGGAATCATTCAAAAAAGCATTTAAATTCACTGAAAATTGTTGGAAAAGAACATATCTAAAATACTCTGGCCATCATCAGCGTTTTATAATTGTGCTTGCGAGTCCAGTTTTCAAGGAATCATTTGAAATGTTCTCATAGCAACACACCAATCTCTTATTACTACTTGTATTCTGGAGGTGTCATTTGGCTTTGCCTCTTTCAAAACCATGGAATGTAAGGCCTAAGATGAATATTTCAACAGTTCTGTAGGCTTTAAGGAGTAAAATCCCAAACAATCTTAAGTCAAATGTTTGAAGTCATATTTCTAGTCTAGATTTTTTGTTGTTATAATTTTGGTGACTTGAAGCATTGCTGCATTACTTCCCAGGAGGCTGAAGTCTGATTTAGATGTGCTGGCCGAACTGCAGGAAACTGAAAGGGCAGCAAGAGCGCTGAAACATGCCACGAGAAGCTCTTTGAGGCCAGTGCGGTACTTCCCGTGGTACTAAAGCAACACCAGTTTTACTGCTGGAATTACTTGTGAAATCGTTAGAAGGTTTCAACATTATGTAGGTCAAATTTGCATGAGAGCATGGTTTATGTATGATGCCTGTTGCTTTAAAGTGCGGTGTAATGACTCGCCCATTGCCCGGCGGAGGGCTCTTTTTTGATGTTAAACACCCATGGCACTGAGGTGGAAGAAGCCTCAGTTGGCCAGGTTTTTTTTTCCCCTTGTGAAAAGTGCATTACAGTAGCGCATTAGTCATCCTTGCTTGATAAAAGCGGGAAGGATGAATGAGAAAGCAAAGCACAATGTTGAGCTCTCAAGGGCAGCTTACGTTGAAAGACTTTTAAAGTGTGTTGTAGGGAAGACGCTGCTGCTACTTGCGAGCTTTCTGACGAGCCCTTTGAAACACCAAAGCAGACAAGGTCTGTCTGCTCTGTGCAAGCACTCGTGAGCATATAGCCTTCTCTGGATGAGCTGGGGTTTTGTACTGGGCCACTATATTCTCCTTTTTCTCCAGCAGCGCAGTTAGCTGCTGCCCTCCAGCATGTTGCACAGCACGGTCGCGCTGCATGCCAACAGTGCTCGGAACAAATGAAAGGCTCTTTAAGTAATAATGACCATTGGCACTACATTGCATAAATGCTGCTAGTCTTTCTGTTTCAGGGTTCAGTAAATGACAGTTTGCACTATTTGATCAGGCCCGGAAATGCCAGATGTTAGGATCGGTTGGGGAAATAGCAGATTTGATGACTTATGGGAAGACTTATGCTCATGAAAGAAAAGCAGATGGTTTTGTAGTCTCATGTTGTTGCCAGGACAAATAGAAGAATCTCTTGGTGCAAAAGAATGATTTGAGCATCTGGTATGTTAGCTAGTTCCAGCAGGTTGAGAATGTTACATTCTTTTACTTCTAGAATCAGAAGTCACTCAGGTGTTAGCCAAGGTTGCAAGAAAGTAGCAAGGCTGTGGCAGTGAAGACAAGACCCCAGTGTGTTTAGCAGGAGATGCTGACAAAGCTGAAGGCACCAAGATCACACCTGTAAATTGACGTGCCTAATGCTTGATCCTTCTTTCCCACATTGTTCATACAGCCTCCTTGGTTCTGTGGGCAAAGTGTCATAGTGTCTTAGTGACTTAAAACTGCCTCATGAATTCATTGGGATATCAGAAGTTCATTAAGAATATCAAGCATTTTTGCATGTACTGTGATTTATAGGTTTGCTTTTTTTTCTTTTTGTGTGACAATTTGATTATAATTTCAAGCTGTGATGTTTCACAAGAGTAAGAATTGCCTTTGCTGTTTGAGTCCCCAGTTCTCTGCCTTTTATTTGCTTTCCCATTGAAACTTGGGAACAAATGCCCCGAGAAATGGTGCAACAGCCTTTCTATGGCTTTAGAGGCCTAGACAAAGCAATGGAGAGAACATGCAACAGGGAACTTATGCACTAGGGAAACATGAGGAAGACATTCAGTTATTGTTGTTGGGTTTTTTTTTGTGTGTTTTCTGAGTAAAGCTACTATTGTAATTATATTAAACTGCGGGGCTCAGGCTTATGAGGTGTTCAGAACCCTCTGTTCCTTCTGACGACAGTAGGTCTGAAGAGTGGCAGTTCAGATTTTTTTCCTTCCCTCACAGCTGTATACAGTGAAATTTATTCCAAGCCTGAGGTGGCTTTTTGATTAAACGTTTGGGATTTTAGCCCTCTAACTCTGCTTGCAAGACTAACTCCAAGAAAGATAATAAGGCATGAGAGTGAGTTCCTGCTTCAAGTGTGTGGAACTGTTGTTTTAAAGGCTTTTTTGTGTCTTAGACATTTGAGACTGGTTATGAAGCTTTTCTACTCCAGTTTTTCTGTTGCTGGCTTATCACTGTAGACTGTGTTTCTGTTACACTAAAATGTAATTGACTATGACTTGTGACACATCTTTCCTTTCAGGAGGTCACCTCTCTTTAAAGGAAAGGCATTATTTAATAAATTACAAGTGACGTGTTTCAAAACGTAAATTCCAGAATATGTATTAAACTTTGATATAAAATAATTAATATTATGTGCAAGGGAATAATCAATTAATTTAATATTAGGCATTAAATTAGAATTAAAATGTCTTAAAAAAAGAAAGAAAGAAAAGTCCTTGGACATAACTTTAGAGGGCAAGATTTTATACTCTGTGTATGCTCTTTAAATATTTTGTTTTGAACTGAACGGGCAGTGCCAAGAGCAGGTTTTGAGAATATCAAGCAGAACATCTCAAAATTCTGTTCTCTTAATTTTGAACAGACACAAAACTAAGCGCCCTCAGTTGCATATGTTTACTATGGTGAAGATAAAATGCAAATGTCTCCGGAATGTGATTGACAACAAAGGGAGTAATTAGGCAGTATCAGTGAACTATTATTTATGCATCTCACCTTAAAAGCCCATAAGGAGCAATAATCTGGTCTGAGACATTGACAAGGAAAGTTGTGCATGTGATTTCTGTTTCAGAGGAACTGAGGGCAATAGGAAGGCAGATGCTAATTGAACAAGTTCCATAGGTGTGTGTATCACAAGTTGTCTCTAAAGTTACTGGAGTGACTTCTTATCTCCTTTTTATGCCTCTAACATTGGAAATGGAGGAAAAATCCAAAGAACAGGGAGTGAAAAGTTTCATGTCACTGCTCTCAGTGCTGTCTGTTCTATATTACCTTTCAATCCTGATGTTCTGAAAGTTGCAGAATGACAGTGTTGCTCAAAACTGGTTTTGTTCTTGGATTCTTCTGCTACTTGGAAAGGGCTTTTCGGTGAAGAAGAGAACAAGTACTTCTTCCACTAAAAGTGAGTGGGATGGAGTTAATTGGTGATGCAGGCTACTACAGAAATCTACTTGATGGAATGTATCTGAGTTTCTACATCCTGTTCAGAAATGAAAAAATGAGAAAGAAAAAAAAATAGGTGTCAAACTAGAGTGATCTGAATGCAGGAAATTGATTTCCAAGGATGACTGGTGCTTTTTTTTATATGGGTGAGGATGTTTTTTTTTTTGTTTTGTTTTAGTCTGTTTTTAGTCTGAATTGAAATATGAGTACGCTTGTAATCTTGCATGTAATAAAACAAAATGTGGAACCAATATCTAGTACTCAGCAAGGAAAAAGCAACAATTTGTGACACAACTGCTTTCTATCAAAAGACATCATCGAAGGTGGATCTGGTCCTGTTTGAAAGCATGAAGTGTCATATGTCACTGTAAAGTGCTCTAAAATGGTCTCGCAGGATTTCAGTACTTTGTCAAAGTCTTAAAAAGAGCTGAAAATGAGGGAAGTCCTTGCTGTAAACTTAAGCAACTACGCAAGTCTGGGGATGGTTGGCATCAACATCAATTATCAGCTGACATCCTTGTTCAATATCTTTTTCACTGGCAAGATGCAAGACTATTGTGACTGAAACTTTTGAAAGTAATAAATATTGAATAATAATAAAGAGTAAAGTAATATTGAAGACGAATGAATATTGAAATAGATGTGTTCTTTGGGAAACTGCAAATCATTTTTGTCTTTTTTTTTTTTTTTTAGTTTATTAAGGCTCTTGAAAGGATGCTCTTTTCATTCAACAGAGATATATCTTTACAATAAGTACTTAGTGGTTTGCATGCTTCAGCTTTCTTCTTGGTGGTATCAGTGGTGGAATCTTTCCCTTAAATTTCTGCATTCTCCACCTATACTTTCAGGGAGAAAAAAAAAAAGCATCATTAGACGTTGTTTGACTTGTGCTGAAGGCACGAATCATCCTTTTCATTGAAGTCTGAGAGACTGATCTGTTGTATCCAAGGACCTGAATTGGGAAGAAATAACTACACAGTACTTATGGAAATGAAATGGAGAAAAATGCTAATGTTCTGGAGGGAAAACAATTAG